AATCTGTGGAGCAATTCTTAGTAACTACGGGGAAATTTAAGATTTCCATTCCAACAATAGTTTAGTTTAACACTAATTTTCAATGTAAGATAATCATTTATGTTATGGTTTGCATATTTCCATTGACATTTTTCTTAAAAGATATCAGTTTAAGTATTACATATTAATCTCACAAAATACAGTAGATATTATACCTGTGGTGCAATTCTGAGATAATACTGTTATATGCCTATGATAAAGATACACTAATCACATTGAATAATAAATGTACACTAATCTCATTTCAGACAAACCCATGAGATACAGTGAATGCATATAATCAATCAGCCTTTCATTAAAATACGAGTTAGACTGAGATACAGATATTTTTAATTTTACTGGTAATAACTGAATTCCAGGTGGAAATCTTTTTTCATTCAATCACTATGAGTTAGGTCTGTGTTATTTGATATGCCAATCCTTACATTTTCTCAAAGTTGAGTCTTTCTTCTTAAATTAAATTTGAATTTCCAACTACATTTTGCCTGCTGTTCCCCAAATGAAACAAATTCAAAAGACAATGGAAGCATTACATGCTCATTGATAGTGCTTTCCAGTGACTGTGGTCAAGTTAAGGCATTTGCAGTCCCGTCCCAGTGTACACAGAAAGCTCACAATCGTTCATTTACTCCAAGTGATTCAAATGTACGAAATTCTCTTTAAAGAGGGGAAAATTCACTAACCAGGGAAAATCTTTGCTTTCAAAATTATTATTCTTTGAAATATCCAGAGGAGGAAAAAAGACTACCTTTAATAACAGAATCTCATGACTGTAGCCAAATGAGATCACAAGACTAACAACGTAATTTTACTAGAAATATATATTTTTAAAAACTCACGGACGTAGCTAAACAACAGAGAATCACATTTGATTTGGTTAATTCTACTCATTGTTAGAACTTACATAGATATTTCTCATAAATTTGAAGGCCTATGGTTTATTGTTTGCTTAACAGAAATAAAATAAAAGAAGATATAAGATGGTAGTATCCCCAGAAAGGCTTTCTAAGATTCAGAAGACATCAGGAAAATGTCTACTTGGACTGGGGAGATGATGTTGGGATGATGTTGCCACTTTGCCAGTGTGATTGTCCCAGAGCTGAACCATTGATCAGATTTATAAAATGTGAGTTCCTTTTTGAAAGGAAAGAAGAGAGAAGGCTGGGAAGAGAACTGAAAAATTCCATTTTGGGAGCTTTAAGAATTTACTGGTAGAAATCCTATTTGAGATTTTCTTTTAATGTCTGGCATGTGGCAGCTTATAATTAAATTTTAATGTCATGGTTCAGTTATCATTTTATAGCTGTGATTAGAGAAACTTACTTTTATGCTATTTTAAAAATACTAAAATGCATTAATACAAATATGAGCTATATGAGAAGAAATATGATAATGTATTATTTTACCAGAAAAAAAAATCTTTCTTCTCAATTTTCAGACAATCATTTCTTCCTCAAAGGATGAATTATTGCTGTTTGGATGCATCACCAAAAGTTAAAGAAATTAACTCCATCAACTTACATTGAGAATTCTTCCAAGCATATAGAACAATATTTTACTAATATGGGTCAGTTAGAAGTTTGTTAGAACTGTTTTATTAAATAGCTAATGACTTTGTGCTCATTGGAGGAGATTCCTTTATGTGGCCCAGCAAAACCTGGAAAAGAGAAACCTAAACATTGATGTAAAAACACAAAATGAATCTGCCTTGCAGGTAATACAACAACTCAAAATAAAACCACAGTCCTCATATCTTTTCAAATCTCTAATCCAAATTCCAACAAAACTCAGTCCATGCATCTTTTCAGACTGATCAATTGGCATGCATATCACAGATTTGAAGGGTATTGGTCATGTTTTCAAATATATGATTAGGATGTAAAAATTCATTATGTAAATAGTCTTAGTTGTCAAAGACAAACGCTTTAGATCAATAATCTATAATGTAGAAAAACAATCTGATATATAAAACTTTGAGTTTAGAAGGATTTTATAGTAATTCTCAACATGAGAAAATTTAAATATTTGTTTTCCATATTTGAGTTATGTGATAAAAATAGAAGGAAATAAAACCCATAGTATTTTCTCTTAATAGGTTTTGAAGTAAACTATAAGAGGCCAAGATCTGGAAAAATACATACATACATACATACATACATAGGCCATTTGTAGTATCTGCAGGTCTGTAAAAGTGTTTGCCCCTTCTTTTATGAGCCTCTCTTCCCACAAAGAAATAGGAACTGCAGTGGGAAAGTCTTCAGTTGTACAGATTTCAAAATGAATTTTTACAACCTAGATGATGGACTGGTATACTTCAAAGGTGAGGTCATGAATTTTCTAAACACATTTCTCTGCTCTCTTTTCTTTTTCTTGACTAGTTTACATCGTAATGGAGGAATAACATTTTAAAAATTTTGAATAGGCACTTACTGGAATTACAGTTAATCCTGATACAATCTAGATGGGGAAGAATAGATGAAAAATGAAAATTTATCCTTCAAGGTAATAGCTGCAGACATCCAATAAAATCACAGTCCACCCTTCCGGGGACAGACACATGCAAATATGGCCACTCCATATCATTATTCTTTACATACTTCTAGAACCCAGATTTATTGTGATAAAACTGCACCACTGGAAACAATAAGAGAATGTTTCAAAAAAATGGCCAATTCAAACAAAGCTACATGGTGACAAATCTAAGTGCATAAAGAGTAGTTAACTGTCAAAGATGCTTGACTTAGACTGGCTGCAACTTTCTCCCCATCTGTGAAAGAACATATCATCATTTTCAGCAAAATTAAAAAGTGCTCCGTCACAATGGGGTATAGTGCAAGCTCAGCTAGGCTCAGACATCTTGGACCTCCGGAATCTAAGATCCCACAAAGGCCAACAGAATCCTTCAGAATTGCAGGGGTCAAATGGAGAGCAATTTAAAAGTATTCTCGTCTCACTCGATGTTTTTTGCTTGTTTGTCTGCTTGTTTTTAAATTTCACTTTCCTGGATACAATACAATAACAGCCAGATGTTAGCTGCATATTCTACATCTTCTATTAATTGCAGGAGGAAAGAAACAACTGTATGCGTTCTACAGAGTAATTCTCTGGGCACACAAGCCCACTCCTCTCTTCGTAGCTACAGTGTTATCTCTATGCAGTAAGTGTTGTGAATGAATTTGCCCTTTCTTATTTTATGAAGGCGGATACTATAAGAATAGAATGTCTGATGTGGATAACACAGATTGTGATTATAGTGGCCATCTTGAAAGAACTATGTGGAGTGTGTTATATATATATATACACACACACACACACACACATATATATATATATACATACATACATACATATACATACATTTGTTGGCTTTGGTTTTAATGCCTTTGGGGAACATGAAAAATATAAACCTAGATTCTGTTTCCATATAGCTGAGTTTGTCATGTGTCGTCAACCGCATCAGAAAAGTGGTTGCAAGCAGCCAAGGACCAGCAGCTACACAACTCTTTCTACAGAATGCTTTGCTGATGAAAAATTCCCAGGAGTGTTTTCTACTTTGACCAGCAGCCTCTTTACTATGATTAGGCAATTTATTTTGACTAGCTTGTAGCAACCTATCGTTGTCACTAGAGGGAAATCTAACAGGACTGTGAATGAGAGCACTGTCAAATAAGTTTTTAAAAATAAAACCAATTTATTTTTTAACTTAATTGAATGTAATTACATGCAATAGCCTACCAATGGGTTAATTTTTATTTTATGAGTTACCATTCTGCCCAGCACAATTTGAAAATATAGGTAGGGGTGCCATATCTTTCTAGTCTTTTCTAAATCTATGTAGATTCATATTTTATCTTTCTTCCTCTGTTGACTCATTTCTATGTGTATTTTGCAAAATACAGTAAAACCTCATTCATTTTACTCCTTCTATTTGGAGTGAATTGTCATATTGAAACTTATTGGGCAGAATATTAAATCTTCATTTGGTATGAACTGAGATCTCCTGAGAAGTTTTCTTCCTTTCAAATTAAAACAAGGTTTTGAAATGACAAGTTCACAGAGAAAACTGATTTCAAATACTTCACTCTGAGCTGGAAACACAAATTTGCATGAAACCAAGTGATAAATAAGGGCAATTCTTATCCATGAATTAAAATCAGCCTAGTGAGCCCTTTCCTCAACAAGATTTTCTCAGCTATTAGTTTGTGGTTTTGAATGTAATGGAGAACAAAACGGCTTAAACTTTAAGAATCTATCAGTCTGATTTTTTTCTCTGCTCAGCCTGACTCTCCCCTCAAATTCATCCAGGTTGGTGAGGTTTTACTGTAGTGACAGCTTCCTAATGGTGCACATAAACAGGAAAGCATTATCTTTCTGTAGGAGAGACTGTGTCCTTAGTGTTCTCATGGCTGTTTGCTGAGGGTCGCAGACTTTGGGCATTGAAGGGTTGTGGATCGCTGTTTGATAGCACACAGTACTTCAAAACAGAAAGGATGAAGGACCAGAAAGGTGACTATTCAAAGGAGAAGCCCGTGAGAGAGTAAAATCAACAGCTAATGTGGATAGCATAGCTGAAATTTGAAATTTTATATGGATATCATCTAAGTAAAATTAGTTAGGTTTTTATTTATCTGCAAGGATATCACTTATAACCAATCAGAAAATGAACAAATACATCAGGAAATTCCGTTTGAGGCCAGTACGTATTTTCAGCTCAGCTCACTGGTAGTTATGGCTTCACTTTGAACAACCTTCAGTGGTCGAACCACAAAGCAGTTCAGTCATGTTAAACATAACAAAAACAAAAAGATGCCCCTCCCCGAAAAACCTAAATTAAGATAAAGGATGGAAATAGGATCATTAAGTGTTTTAACTTCGCATGGCCAACAGGCTACTTGATCAATGTTTGCAAGCAAAACTGAAACTGCGAGGTGTTAGTTGAATGGCGGAAGGCAGGTGGTTACCTAGGTTGACCGTCAGTTTCACGCGGCCTGCGTCCAGCTCCAGCCGCAGCGTGTCCGCGGAGTCCCTTGACGTGGTGGCCATCAGAATGCCATAGGCGCGCTGAGACCGGAACCGCAAGGACACGTCCTCGGCCTCTGTGTGCATCACCACCGGCAGCTGGATCTTCATAAACATGCTCCCGTCGTAGCTCAACACTGTTGCCTCTGCAGAAAGGAAATGCAAATCCTAAGCTCTGGGTCAGTTGAGAGCAATTATACTTGGAAAGGGGCAATCTGTTAAAGGCTATCTAGAACACAACACTATAAAATCAGCTCATCTGCTTAAAATAAGACATTTTCAAGGGAAAGCAAAGATCCTCTGTAAAGTATGAACACACCTGTTTGTCCCCACTTTCCATCTGTAGCATTTACCATGTTGGATCATAAGCATAGTGCATGTATATTTCCCTTATAAATAGCAGGTATGTATTTTTCTCCTCTTCCTACCCATTCTTTCCCTCTTCTCCTCACTATTCTTTGAGAATTAAACACAGGAGCTTTGCCCTGAACCCTATTTATTTATTTATTTATTTATTTATTTATTTATTTTATTTTTTTGCCAGAGAGAAAGACCAAGGCCAGGACCATCTACCGTGCCACCTAGGTCAATTAAAAGGACTACAAATTTTGTTCTAATATCTTAGTGTTTGACTCAACCTTGTGATCCTCAGTGTGCTGTCAGTAAAACCACAGTGCCAAAAGAAACTATTGCTATAATTTATTCATAACCTCTACCTTTAAAAGCAGCCACAACAATGAAAGAATTACTGTTATGACTTAAACACACATGAACTAGTTCATCACTTTACCAAAGCTGATGTTCAAAAAGAAAAATTGTATTTTGCAAAACAAGGGAAGATACTTCTTCTGAGCCACTAGCTTTAACTAGTCAATGTCTTTAAAAAAACACAAACTGTAACTTTATCTCATGGTTCATTTACAGGTAAGGAGTAACTTAAAACATTATCCCTAAGCACAACCCTGGTGTCCTACAAATATCATGAAAACCTCACTTAACTCTGTACCTTGGTTGTACTGGAGGAAGACAGTGGGACTGAGGGCGTGCGTGAGTGAGATTATCTGAGGTAGACAGAAACAGTGGGGTGCCTAATATTACATGAAATAAAGAAACAAGTAGCAAAGGCTGTGTATGGCAAAGTACTGTAAGGGACAGTCCCTCTCAGAGCTGAGCTCCATATGGCATTGCCATACTGCAAAACAAGTACGAGTTGTTTTGTACTCTTACTGTTTCTGCTAACTCAGAGAGCCATTTAACAAGAAAAAACTATCTCGAGTTAATATTAACTAGGGGAGTTTTACTATCTTGGCATAGCATTAACTTTACTGGTACAACTGTCCTCTTTATTAAGACTATATTCTAGAGTTGTGGTTTTGCAATCAGAACAAAATCTGTACTCCTTCTAACTGGTCCATATGCCACTGTGTACAGTACTGGCCGTGGTCTCTCTCTCTCTGGCTCTAGCATTTAGCATCACCCCCTCACCTGGCAAGCTCCACCTACACAACCCCATTGCTCATGAAAATATCTGCAGTCCTAGGGTCTCATCTAGTGGTCTTCAACTGGTGGGCTCTTCCTGCACTCAAGGTCTCTTGTCACATGTTACTCCAGAGAGGCCTGCTCCCCTTTAGAGTTACTCTCATCTATTTACCACTTCATTTTTTAATATCCCCACTTCTTATCGCTTGCAGGCAGTAATCTCTATTCACCCTTCAGAATGCACTGGCCTGGACCCACAGACCAGTCCCCCATAACCTTTTCTCTATGCCTAGCTAATGCTCCAGTGTCCCAAACAGGCCAGACACATAGCAGAGACACTGTAAGAATTGAATGAATTATCCATCATACATGACACTAAAGTATGTGAAAGACCTTATCTGAACTAGAATACAAAGCTTTATTTACAGCAAAAGGAACTGAATTCATTGATATATGTGATCAAAATTTATTTTTGAAGGAGATAACTAGGCTGCACAGGCAGACTAGAAAGCTATCTGACCTAGCCACTGAAAAAATAAAATATGTGGGCCGGGGATTTAGCTCAGCAGTTCGGTGGCCTGCCTTGCAAGCTCAAGGACCCGAGTTCAATCCCCCCCATACCAAAATAAATAAATAAATACATACATACATAAATAAATACATAATAAAATAAAATATGATCTTAAAATACAGGGATTCTCTATGGTGGCACTGGCTTTTCCAATTAGATAAGAAGTTTCAATTAGATGAGAAGATTTCCAAGTACAGCAATATCAAAATGACAGAGGTCAGTGTGGGTGACCAAGTAGTAGTTGCTCAACAAATAATTAAAATACGATTACAAAATTATAGCAAACTCATGAAAAAAAAGTTTTTTGCACGACTTTAAATGAAATTGACCTTGCGTTTTTGTTGCCCTACACTCAATCCAATCTATAAAGTATCAAATACCTCAATTTAAAAGTTAAGAAGCCATTATGGAATGCCTGATTACTTTGGAATCAGAAAACATTGTTAGCTTTCTCCTAGTTATTAATCTGTACAATTATTTTACTATTCTATGCTCCTATTTATAAAACAACTGTATACTCTTCTGTGACATGACTCTTAATTTGAAAACTATAGCAGGGGACATATCATTTTAAAAATACAGTTGTTTGACAATCAATCATAAATACATTATGAAATACAATCCAGAGAAGGGAAGTAATCAGGATCACTGGACATTAACATTCTCCAAAATGCTGCATGAATGAAATCACATAATAAAGTAGTAAAACTCCAGTGCCCCCAGTGCCACTTTGAACAATTCTCAATGTGAAAATAACTTGCTGATAAACGAGAACTGAAAGCCTGAACGATTCTTCATAATTAGAGTTAATGTTTAATTAGACAAGAAATGAAAAATGCACAAGGTTGTAGTCTCGCGTTGCCAAACAGACATGAGACAACATTCTGACATCTGAAGGTGATGCTACTTGGCAACATCCTTTAGCAGTATAAAATCATTTTATCCTTTAGAATGTAAAAAGAGTCTTTTAAAAGGCTAATTCTAGTACAATGCTTCCCAGTGAGGAAGAACAGTTTGAACTTTGTCTTCTATATCTTCTTCTCCTTTGTCATTACGTTGGATAAATTTGCTTTTCTGTATCATTCCTTGTTGTGGTCTAAAGTGTACACCTGTCTTGGTTTTGCCGAAAGGCAGTCACATATTATGATCAACGATGAGAATCAGACAGGGAGCCAAATTATATTGCTCTGACATCTGTCCCTCCATCTGCTAGAATTTTAACAAACAAGTATAAAGTAGACCTCTGATTACAAAAAAGCTTTTACTTTACATATTACTGAGATTAAATTGTTATACAAATTATTCCTTCTTATAGTCGATATACATAGAAGAAAACAGTATTTGACTTCGTTTATAAATGTTTTGTTTTTTTCTTCTAAACTTTTTGCCTTCTTTTTTTTGGGGGGTACTGGGGAGGGAATCAAACTTGGGTCCTTGCGCTTGCAAGGCAGGCCACCGAACCGCTGAGCTAAATCCCAGGGCCCAACTTTTTGCCTTCTTAAGGTGGGATGAAAATTTCCTGTAACTATACCACCTTTCTCCCAGTTGCAGTGTCTAAGGACATTAGCATACTTTTAAATTACTTTGAATAATTATCTCCAGAAGTTACAAAATATTGTTCAACAGTTACAATACAGAAACTTTAAAAATGTTGGATTTTAATTTATTTTTATTTCAAGAGTTTCACTGGAGTCTGTGAGGTTGATGGCCTTATGTGATGATAATGTATCCAGAGAGGAAGTGCTGGAAAAACCCTCTCTTAAATTGGGAACTCAGAGGTGTAAGCTTGATCTTATGTCTGATGAACTAGGGAATCGCTGGAAAGGGGACAGAATCCAAACTTTGTGATTCTGATCATGACAACCTCTCCACATTTCCCTTACTCTCAGGAAGCACCATAATCTGAGACAATTAATTCTAAAAAAAAAGGATTTCTCACAATATGCTGGTGTAGTTCCAAGGAAAAACTGGATACACACAAAAAAACAACCATTTCACCCTAATAAATATCCAACATGGAGACAAACCCACAGAAATGTCTAGGTGTTCATGTGATAAAAATTATTAACATATATTCTTAGGGATGAAGTTTGCTATTAAATTCTCATTAAAAATTTACATATACTTCCCACCTTCCTTCTAATTATGCAATATTAATTATTGCAATATATAAATATTCCCCTCCCCTCATTCTGGCTCAGAAAGTTCTACAATTTCCATTTTTATTTTTGCTATATGTAGTAGCTGAATATAGCCACAGGGTGGTACACCATGCATATGAAACTGAAAGCTTTCGTAATTCATGTGACAGTTGAGCTACTCTTCTGTAGTTGTGCTTAAGGAGGAGGTTTCAGAATAACTGGAAGGTTTCTGAGCGATGAAAATTAAAACAAAACTTTAATTCTTGCAGGTGCAATAATCTCCTATTATGCCTAACTATATTGTACCTTTTGCCAGCATTGTCATTTTTTTCCTCCCTTTTGACAAATTTCCAAAAGAACTAGACAAACTAAAAATAGGAAGGAAATGGGGAAGAACATTTTTTTATTTATTCTTCATAAAAGAATATAATCACACAAACCAAACTACATAGAAAGAGCTAAGCTCTGATGACGACAGGAGTTATAATTAGGTACTATCATAAGGAGAATTAGTATGTCTATGTGATAAAATACTTGCCCATCTATTGACCTAGCTTTATTAGCCTTTATATGACAATGAATAATGACAGCATTTTGGTAGGATATTGAATCTACTATTTATTATTGATTTGTTATTAGTAATTATTTATAGTTATTAATTTTAGAAATAGGATTGCAAGCTGATGTACCTATTCTTTAACATAAAAAAATCAAAATCACATTTTAATTTGGGGTTTTGCAAAATACTTTTTATCTAGGAAGTTTCAGGATAAATCAGTGGAACTATTTCAAGAATGAAAGAAAGCAAATAACTAAAGGCATGGCTTAACAATAAGAGGCCAGGTACTTTTAGATCAAAAATCTAATAGAGCAATGCTATTTGTACCAAGAGAGGACAATGGAACGACTTATCAATATTTCTTCATATTGATTTTCAGTTCTGTTGTAGAAAATAAGTGACAATGGACAGTGACTAAAGCATTTATCTGAAAGACTGGGTCGATGGAAGGACATGCCTGGAACCATTTGTTCTGCTGTTTCTTCTGTGAGCCTGCTCTGCAGATCAGCTAGTGACAGCTGTCACACTTTAGTCTTCCTTTATCCCGTTTTGCTATCCTTCTAAGAAAAAAATGAAAAAAATGTAGCTTTATCTCCTCCTAAGAGAAGAAGACAGAGGAACCTGCTCAGAAATGCAACATATACAGCTATTGTCTTAAAATACATAAGTAATGAGTCTTCTGCAACTGGTTAGTTCCTAGCCAAAGGTAAGTGCCTTTGAAATTAAGATAGCATTCTGAAATGTTAAAACAATTTGAAAGCTTTAAAGTCAGCTTTTCAGTGAGAATACTGCTCCTTGGGAAAGTTGACGAGTCAAAATGAGTGGGCTAGCTTAAATCTTACCTAATAGGGTCAGGGAAGTTGCAAGTTACAGCTTATCTTGCCTTAACTGCTATTAATTAGCCACAGATATTAGCACTGGAGGTCAGAAGTATGGCTAATGCTTGACTTTTTTGAGTGTCTTCCATCGTGAAGTTAAAAACTGGGCAAAAGAGACAGCAGTTAACTGCTGTATACATCCTAGGCTCATGACCTATGTGAGTGAAGATGCACATGTCTATCCCTGCAATATACTTAAGAGCCCTGCCTTCACAAAGCCAGGCCCTTTGAAAATCACTAAAGACTTATCAGTAATCTATGTCCAGTATAGGATTCAGCTCACAGAGTTTGCTTCAGTAAACGTGTCAATAATCAGCTTGTCTGAAGCCAGCATTTAATATACATTTCATCTAAAGGAATTGGTGCGATGTTTTGAAATCCTACCTCTCTCACAGGACCTGCCAAGGTAGCCTGTTCCAGAACAATCACAGACATATCTGTTCCACCCATCCCTGCACATGCCATTATTTTTGCAAGGATTGCTAAGGCACGGTTTTGCTGTTTCCCTGGAACAGGAGGGCTTCACTCCAGCAGTACTTTGAACTTCAGCCATTTGCCGGATGTCTTTGCTCTGGCCATCAATGAACAGATCCCGGATGCAGCCCACGTAGCCATAGTTGAGCAGAGCAGTCCACACCTCGGTGGGGAAGACGAGGCCAGCCTTATTTTCTGGCAGGCCTCCCAGGTACAGCTCATCATCCAGGTCGAGAATCTCACTCTCACCAGGGGCTGTATAGGGTGTACGCAGTGTGTTGACAGAAATGGTACCTGGTTTAAAGACAAAAGAATATGGAGGGTTTTCAGAGTACAAAGAGTTTTCCTTATCGCCTTCCGTCTGTTTCATTTGCTTAAGGGCAACTCCCTGACGGCAGACATTGCTTTTTATTTTGACAGTAGACATTACTTATTATTCTTTCTATTCTTTGTGTCTTGTACTTCCAAGGTGTATTAAGAAATCTACAGCATTAAGTAACTTATGAAATAAAGCAGAGTATAACTAAACTGGTCCCTTCTGACTCTGAGAATGAGAACCAAAGTGTACAGGGAGACAATAGAGTTTCTCAGTCTCTAACAGCTCAGTCATTAAAAGAATACATACATAAAAATAAACTGGTGTTCTATGTCACTCTCTGAAAGAGACTTCCCTTGGTGGTTCTGTTTAAGAGAGTATGTTTGTGTAAACCAAGAAAAGAATGCAGTCCCTTTTTTAACTGACTCGCTTGTTTTGATTGAACACAACAGTTTAACAGATTAATTATATCAAAATCTAATTTCTTTATTTAGCTGTATGCATAATATATTGATTCCTTTTGTAATTTGGAATTTAAATGATCACATATTCATCCACTTAGAAATATTAAAGTGTTATAAAAATGTGGAATCCATGGGGGAAAAAAGGTAAAAATGAAAGGCTAAAAGCACATTCCTAATAAAAACTTAGATTTATGTTTTCAGATTGCAAAAATTCCCCAATATTCAATCTCCAGAACAACCTTTATACAGATGCAAATATGATACACCACTTGGGGTCATTAGTATATTACTCTAGATTTATTTTTTTTAGATCTCAATCACAATGCAGGAGAGGAAGAGTCACATGAGAAAGACAGGCCAGCAAAGGTCTGATGCTGGGCCAAAACACAGGCACAGAGCCTCAGAGACATAGGGAACAGACTTGAGAAAAATTGGAAATAGATGGGATACAGAAATGAGGACAGAAAGAGGCGGTTTGGAGAGCAAGACACATTTTTAGTTACTCACAGAGTACCTAAGCTCACCCCAAGGGAGGCATATACCTGCGGACTCTACACTGTGCTCCGGAGTATCCCAATCCCAACAGAAGGGCAGTCCTTAGGGCTGGGTATTTAGCTCAGTGACACCGGGCCTAATTCACAAGCTCAAGGTCCTGAGTTTGATCCCCGGTGCCCCCCTCAAAAAAAGAAGGGCACTGCTTAAGCAGAGCTGCCCATTGGGATTGGTTTTTGAGAATGTGAAGGGCAGAAAAGCCATTGATAGAAACAACCCAGGCAGCCAAGTCATTAAGAGAACATTTGTCTCTCTAGACTTGCAGAAAAAGCAATAGAAAATGCTCCTAAGAGAAAGACACTCAAAGGCACTACTATTTTGGCCCTTCAACAAGGGGGGCATAATTTGGATGTTTGAGAGGAAGCAGAAAGGGAAAGAGAACAAGTATTCACTTCTAATGTTTGGATTTGTGCAAGTGTCTCTCTGAGGTAATAACGTACAGGTTCCATGAAATCCAACCTAGAAAAAGATGAGAAATGTCACTGAGGAAATTAAATATATGTAGTGTTGAGAGAGAATGGTGAATCTCTTAAATAGGCTGATCATTACATGCACTTTAAAGAACTGTTTTTTAAAACTCTGTATAAAACACCTAGGAGATTAATTAACAGATGATCCCTAGCCTCTGTAGCAGGTAAGTAAGTTAAAGGAGAAAAAGTGAATACCAAGGACAGGAGTTCAGGTGGAGTGTTGTTTTTGTTTTTGTGGTGCTGGGATCAAACCAAGGCATCACACATGCTGAGCAAAAGCTCTATCCTTGAACTACAACCCCAACCCAAAGATGGGATTTTAAATATTTTTTTGAGTAGAATGCAAACATCTGTATCCAGTGAACATAGTAGCTTACATTTTTATGGTAAAAGAGGGAGGAACATTATTGTTTTTCAGTGTTAGAAGAAGGCTTCATAGAAGAGCTATAATCAATATTTTTGAGAGGAATTGTGTTATGAGACACAGAATTTAGCAAGTAAACAATGAAAAGGTATTAGAAGAGTGGAGTTGCCTACAATATGTATTTTCCCCTTAATAACAGCTTTGTTGTATTTATAGGACAATCTTGATCCAGCTCAAGAAAGAAAAAAAAAAAACTTGGCAAAATAGTATATTACAGTGCATTCACTATATTCAGAAAGTAATTATGACTTTGAAAAGGGGAGGTTTCTGAGACAAGAGAACTCACTGGCTAAAGCGAATTCCTGTCCTCTAAAGCCACCCTCCAGGGCTCAGCTGTGGTCACAATCAGCCAACAGTAGTATGGCATCAAGGACAAGAGGCTCTCTGGGTTTTATTTATGGTAGTTAATATCTGCTGTGAACAAAGTATTTCAGGAAAGTTAAGACATGTTTTTATAAATGTGTTTGTTGCCATGGTTAGATTAATGTGATCCCTATATCTTTTATATTTAGACTAGTTTTGTCTGATACTTAATAGGGTAAGACAATAGTTTTCATGTAGCCCTGTGCACAAATACACACACACACCACTCACTGAATCAAAAGTTTAACAGAAAAATAGTTAATTTTACTGTTGTTAAGGGACCATGAAGTGGATCTTGAGCCAAATAACAAGTTGGGACCCACCATTCAAAAAACTCGTATTGAAAAGGTATCATAAATTATGTTTCTCCCAAAGTTTCTTATTTTTATCTTTGAGAGACAATTTTAGAGTTCTTATAAAAAAAAAGGAACAAAATGTAATAGGGAAAAAAAAAGGAATATAATCCCAATTTCAAGTCAAATATAATCAGAGTGGTTAGAATTTTAATTGAGCCATGGATTCAAAGTTAAGGAGACACACTGGCAAATGCATGTGTCATTCACAGGAATGACAGACACAAGACACAAGAGAATGAAGACAGACACAAGAGAATGAAGGAAACGCATCAGAAAAATCAAGTATTTTTTCTATAAATTTTACTATGCTTATGAATCAAATGATATATTCACCTAGGCGCAAGAGCCATCACAGAATCTGAATTAGTTTAAACCAATTTAACACATACACATGAGCTTAGGGAAATTTAAATGTTAGGGTTCCCAAGTGCTCATTTCATTATAATTGAGTTATAAAGACAGGATTTCAAAGAACACAACAAATGAATAATTAATCCTTGTTCATTGATGAAGACAAGTGAGTTGTTCCCACAGATGCCTATGGCAATAAAAAATGAGAATTTCCCAATGGCTGAGATACATACATTTTTAAGAGAAAATAAAAGTCTGAGTAATATTGAGTTACTCCTGGTTTTCTAGGAATCAAAAATATTGATGTGTCCTCTATTGATTCTTTCACAGATTTCATCCCTTCTGTGAATAGTGACAGCTGGATATGTGTGTGTGTGTGTGTGTGTGTGTGTATGTGTTTCTAGTAAATTAAATCAATACTTTAAACTGTTACATTTAAGCTGTCAAAATTTGTGGATAGTATTCATATTTGGGAATTTATTTAGATTGGTACTTTATACTTCAACATTTAAGAATTCAAAGCAAACTACTACGTTACTTTACTTTTTTAAAGGAATGCAGTTCATGTATCCATATTACTTTTATTAATTTAATGTAAAAAGCGCATTTAATCTTGTGCGTAAGCAAATGGATAAAAAAAATGCCTAAGCAGAAAACCAAAAGCATAAATAATAAGCTATCCTTTGCTATCTAATTATACAAAAATGGGAAATAAACTGTTGAAAACAGCTCTTGGCTATAAAAGTGACAATCCACTTTCTAATTTAGTATAGTGTTAATAACCTTATAGTTTCCCCCACCATTCCATTTTCCTTGGCTATTTTATTTCCGTAAGATTAGTTTATAGGGTGAGCAGAAATGTGAGGATTAGATTTAAGGTAAGTTAATTTGATTTCTAGTTTTAAATTATGGCAAAAGTCTGAATTACTGGGAAAAGAGGAATACAAAATAAAGTGCTGGGATGAAAATATTTTTGCCTGGTGACAGAAAACTTATTTTCATGTTTCAGCTATTCAGACAAATCAGGCAAGTTTAACTAAATAATGGACTCATTAGGCCTCCTTGTGGTTTTATACAAAATAAGGGACTTGGCAAGATGATCAGTAAGGTGAATAGAAAAATTGGAAATTATTGCTTAAAATAACTTTTAAGTTAAATGTCAATTTTGTCTATCCATAATTATATTCTATCTCTACTGTAGGAAACTGAATAAACATGGTACAATTTTATTTTTCCACTTCATCCTCTATTAACAAATTTAAATTTAGTTTTTTCTGTTTCATGCAACAAGAGTATGATATAATGCAAAATGAAAAATAAGTAATGCTCATAAAATCATAGAAAGAAATAATAATTTAAAAGTCCCAAAAATATTAACAGCAGGGATTTTGAGGGATTCTGAGTGGTTAGTGGATCTGTTTTTTAATTCTTTGTTATTTTCTGTTTCTTTAAAAAAAATAATGTAGTAACTATTAAAAGAATGGAAGAAAATTCATTTGCAAACAAGAAATACAATCTTAGTTTTGTTTTCTGCTATTTGTTGTTTTATGCTTATTATTTGTTGTCAGCTTACTTTAATTCATTTGTAAGCTGTAAACTTGAGGAATTAAATTGATATATAAAAAAAACTAAGCCTTAGAATATAAATGTGAAAGTTTCATATCTAGTGTTGGCCTAGTTAGGGAAGAAAGGCACCTGCTATACTGCAGCTATGAATGTCAACTGAACCACTAGTTAGCAAAACTGAGCTGTCATTCTCCTTCACAATTAATGCTACCACTGACGCCTTCATTTCAGGTGTCACAATGATTCCCTCAGAATCTGAAAAACAGGCAAAAAGATCATATGTATAAAGATTTCTAAAGTAAAAAGTTAGGTTTTCATCAATACAGGGATGAATGTGCAAATACTAATATTTTTAAACTAAGAAATATATCATGTCACTACAATAAACGGAACAGAAAAGGCTTTCAGCAAGTTTTTTATCACCCAAAACAC